TTTCCAGTTCGTTACAGTAGTTTCCGATTGCCTGGCGACCAAGGGACTTTTGATGAAAAGTTCTTCAGTTACGTGATATTCGAAAAATGTATGGCTTCTGCGCCTCCTTTTTCTTGGCCAAGGATCGTTCGACAGCCGGTTATACGTCATAAGCATGTCCACTGTCAGCTTTGTACCGCGGCAGGTGCACTGCAACATTTGATTTTCACGAAAAAGCTACACGGAACTTTTGTCTATAGGGCTGCTCGAAAAAGCAATTATGGCGACGCGCTTCCAGTCGATCTTATGTATTAGTTATGACGTGGAAAATAAAGTCCGAGATGCATTGCTGTTATTTAAAAATGGTTGCGTAAGTGTAGTACAGTATAACATGCAATTAAGGTATCTTTGAGCTAGTGGATTTTTATTCACTAAGCTGAAGTTTTTGGGAAATGGGGTTGTGCTAAATTATATATGGAAATTACTTATTTTTACATGTGACTTTCCGTACTTGTCGCTGGATAGTTTTACATGAAATTTAGAAAACACGCCAATAATAAATTTTTCTGACAATTACTAATCACGTTAGAAATCCGTATAATTTCATAAAGACTACAGGGTGACATATTAAATTAACAAGGATCAGTTATTCCTCTTTCTCATGAACATCTGCATATACTCCATTGGATTAAAATTGAGCCAGCTGCTTAATTCGTTAATGGCTTACAGAATTAATAGATTACACCTAAGCATGTTCATAAATTTACGCAAATATGTTTATTAAAATATTCTTTCAAAAATCCCGTTTCAGGCCCGTTAGGCAAACGTTAGAAGGTCCTTTTCTGTTAAATTCCAGTAAAATTGCATTTATCTTCCATTAACCGGCCTGGAAAATATCGTTTTTAATAATCATGTTTTCTGGCTGCTCAATCCTGTCTTAACAGTCTTGTTAGGGCTGAAACTGTCTGTATATCACCCAGCTTTTTTTAAACCTTTTACCGACCGAGGTTCCAGAAAATAACAGGAAGCATTAGCACTGAGTAGCGAAAGTTCTAAAGTAGATCGTAGCTCTATTTCACTCATTACTGTGCCATGCTTATTCAGATACGCATCTTAGTAAGTGCCATTTTATCACGTCAGCACCGATCGCTGCAACACCTTTTCAGTATCCAGGCGTTGCTGTTTGAACTACCTTGTGTATGTAC